TCTTCCTACTCTTTGTTACCTGTCTGCCATTTCAGTACACTACCTCCAATCCCATGTATTTTAATTTTTCGTGCTAAGCTTTTAGGTGGGACCTTATCAAAGCCTTCCGGAAATCCAAATAAACCACATCCAATGGCTTCTCCTCATCTGCCCTACTAGTTACATTATCAATTTTTTTTTAAATCAAGCATCACTTTCCCTTCATAAATCCAAGTTGACTCGGTTTGATCCTATCACTGTCTTTCGTGTGTTCTACTATTAAGTCTTTTATAATGGACTCTAGCATTTTTTTCCCAACTTTCAATGTCAAACTAACCAGTCTACAATTTACTCAGAGATAGTAAGAACTGTAGATGCTGGAGTCTGAGGTAACAGTGTGGAGCTGGAGAAGCACAATCTGCTGTTTTTTCTATGCCTCCCCTCTTAAATAGTGGGGTTACATTAGTTACTCTCTAATCGATAGGAACTATTCCAGAGTCTATGGAATAGACCGGTAATGCACCTGGTCACCTCTCTGTCAGTCTTAATCCCGAGCATTTTCCTTTACTTTTCACCTAGTTGTAAGGTACACTGGGGAACCTGTTACTCCTAAAAGGTGAAATATAAAGAAACATTACAAGGGACAACACTTTGCTACCCAAATGTTACAAATTTTCATATTAAAAAAATGACAATTATGAATGTATGAGTTTTGAAGATTGATAACTGCATGGTGCATCAGAGCTTTTTGATTTTGAATGGTTCAGAAGTGCCCCTGGAGAATGGCAGTGCTGCAGATCCTGTCACTACCTTTTAAGTGTTCTGCTATTAAATCTTCTAATAACAGACTCTCGCATTTTTCCCATTTACAATGTCAAGCCAACCACTCTACAATTTGCTGTTTTCTTTCTGCCTCCCTTCCTAAATAGTGGTGTTACATTTGCAATCCTCCAATCCATGAAATTGTGATGAGTCCATGTGGATAACTTGAAACTCGTAGTCAGTTATTGCAGAACAGGAAATCCAGGTAAAGGATCCCTGCGCTAAATCAAAAATTTGGAAAAATTTGAACTAGTAACTCCATATTAACTGAACTTATGGACGTTTACCTTATGACTATCCCCAACAACAGGAGAGAGAAATCATGAGTAAGCCTGCAGCAAAGGCTGAGAAATGGTCTCACTCAGGTCCTAAATTAGTACGCGGCAAGAGATGTTTTTACTTTAGATGAAGCCAGACTGTTTACCAGATTTTTTTTTAATGTTGAGAGATAAACGGTAGAAAGTGCAACAAGGAACGTGTCACTGCTTTAGTCTGGGCCAACGTGGTTGCTACTGAAATGCTGCCACTTGTGATGGGAAAGTCCAAGAAGCCAGGTTGCATTGCATACATCAAAATGCTACTACCTATTACAGGATGAGACTAATAAAAACCACCCTGATAATCTCCAGTATTTTTGACATATGGATCAGGAAAGCACAGGATTATCACTCTGATAACCTGAAGAGTCTGATGAATGCCCATCTGCTCACCAACCTGTTTCCCTTGCTGAAGCCACAACAGATTTTGCAATGCAGCACGAAAAAAGGTTTGTCTATATTGACAACATGGTGGACTTGTGCAAAGACAGCACGGTAAGCAGAAAATGGCGACTGCCTTTGCCAGGGGTAACTCCCAACATTTTTAATACTTTTTCCTGGACAAGGTCAGACCATTGTTAAATGTGAACAAGTTGAAAAATAAAGACTTTTTCACATATTTACTGCGTCACTTTTTTTTATTTTACAGAGGTTGCCTGTAGGCAATCCAGGCTACTTAGGGGTTTCCTCGGCAGTTTCAAAGCTATGCCTAACACGTTTTTGGGCAAGCACCCTTTCATTCAGGATTTTTCAGTATATGTAGCTATCACAAGTGTAACAAAGCTTATGAACAGACTAGAATGTATTTCTTGGAATTATTTTTCAATAATGAAAATCATAACAGTACCAGCATCTGAAATAGCATCACGTACAGATTTTACGTGAACTAAAAATGCATTATTATATGTTTTGTGGTGTCACACAAGTTTTCCCCTTGAGATTAAATTTAATCTACTGAAACATTAATGGGAACTCCATCTGCTAGAAGGAAATTTATAACTTCAATCACTTTATTTATCAAATCTCACTTTACTAAACTGGTGCTCAAAATAGAAACTACAACTTGCATTTATATAGCACTGGCAGAATAATAAAATGTAGCAAAGCAATTCACAAGAATGTAATCGTTCAGAAATTATTACCAATCTAAAGAGGATGTTAGAACAAGCAATCAAAAAAAAGCTTAGTCCCAGATGTATGTTCTAGGTAGGGCTTAAATGGGGAGGAGACAGAACTAAATTTTTTCTAAGAAAAACTATTACTACATCTATTTTCACTCCCTTTCAAACTGAATTCAAACGTTTTTAACTATTTTTAAAAATTGCTCATCCTAGCTTTTGCTATACTGAACGGCTTAGTATCATTTTTCTCTTTTGTAAGTTGCACAATATAAGTAAACTTCCATTAATACTTCAGGAGGCCTTCAGTTATCTGCTCTCTGAGACATATTGGTTTAAAATCACAATTCTGAAAAGATTGAACTAGTTGATTATTAGACTCCCTCATGAATAGACCAAACCCACATGCCACTAGTTTAAAAATGAAAGAACTGTGGATGCTGTAAATCAGAAACAAAAGCAGAAGTTGCTTTAAAAGCTCAATAGGTCTGGCAGCATCTGTGAAGAGACATCCATGTTAATGTTTCGGGTCTGGTGACCCTTCCTCAGAACTGATGTAGATAGGAAAATGTTAGTTTATATGCAGAAGATAGGTGGGGATAGAGCCAAAAGAGAGAAGAACAGAGAAGTGGATAATCTGGCTAGGAAAGTGAATAGCTGTTAATGGAGACTGTTGGTTGCTACCAATAGATAATGCGTAATGGTAGACTGTGATAACCATGCATGGTGTGTGGGATTGGGGGCTAGGACATGGGAGAGTTCAGGCCCTAAAATTACTGAACTCAATTTAGAGTCCAGAAGGCTGCAGGGTCCCCAAGCGGAAAATGAGGTGTCGTTCTTCCAGCTTGCGCTGAGCTTTGCTAGAACACTGCAGCAAGCCTTAGACAGAGATGTTGGCCAGTGTACAGGGTGGTGTTGAAATGGTAGGCAACTGGAAGCTCCATCTTTTTTGCTGGTAGAATGTAGCTGGTCTGCGAAGCAATCACCAGTCTACACTTTGTTTCTCCAATGTAGAGGAAAAGCAGGGTGGACCATGAGCCCACTATGGAACATCAAGCCATTGTACCAACTACTGTCACTGACCACCTTTCATCTCCCTCTCACTACCTCCAAGTTGATAGTCCTCCAGCCCCGCACAGCTTGCTTCTACCTCCTTCCAAAAATCCACAACAGGACTGCCCGGGCATGATCTATTATTTCTGCCTGCTCCTGGCCAACAGAACTCCTCTTTCTACCTAGGCTCAGTCTTTTCTCCCCTGGTCCAGTCCCTGCCCACGTACATCTGCGTTTCCTCTGACACTTACACCAGCTTCAGAATTTGCAGGCTCCAGCACCTCCTCTTTACCGTGGACGTTACATGTCCATCGCCCACTAGGATGGTCTTGGGGTTCTCCGCTTCTTCCTGGAGGAAAGACCTGAACCATCACCCCCCACCACCCCCCTCCTCCTCTTGCCCAAACTTGTCCTCGTCCTTAACAACTTCTCTCTTAACTCATTTTCTTCAGGTCGGAGGGGTCTTCGTGGGGTACGTGGAACGTACCTTATTCCAGTCCTATGCTGGCCCCCATCCACAACTCTCTCTGATGTATCAATGTCTTCATCAGTGCTGCTTCCTCTCTCGTCCGGAATTGGAAAAGTTCATTGATTTCACTTCCAATATCTACCCTGCCCTCACTTTCACCTGGCCTATCTGACTCCTCCCTTCCCTCCTTCGACATCTGTTTTCATTTCTGGGGATAAACTGGGCACTAATATCCACTATAAACCCAATGACTCCTACAGCTACTGGACTATACATCTTCGCACTGTATCTTGTAAAGACTCCATTCCATTCTCCCAGTTCCTCTGTCTACATCACATATGTTCCAAGAGACCAACTTCGACAAGGGAGCCTCCAAAATTTCCACCTTCTTCCTCTACTGTTGAGACGTCTCACCCAGGTCCACCCCATCTTGCACATTTTCACCCTCATCTCCTCCCTTCCCTCCCACAACAGCGAGAGGGTTTCCCTTGTTCTTACCTACCATCCCACCAGCATCCACGTCTGGTGATCTTCTGGACACCATTTCCGCCACCTCCAGCGAGATGCCCTGTCCACATTCCACAAGCACTGTTTGCTCCAGGACACCCTGGTCCACTCTTCCTGGATTCCCAATACTTTACACCCGTCCCCATGGAACCTTCCTCTGCAACCGGCAAAGGTGCAACACCTGCTCCATTTACCTCCTCCCTCCCCACCATCCAAGGGCCCAAACATATCTTCCAGGTGAAGCAGCACTTTCCCTACACTTCCCACAATCCAGTCTACTGCATTCACTGCTCACAATGTGGTCTCCTCTACATTGGGGAAACAAAGTGTAGACTGGGTGACTATTTTGCAGAATATAAACTGCATGTAAACTGACATTTTCCTATCTACTACAGTTCTGAGGAAGGGTTACCAGACCTGAAACCTTATCTCAGATTTCTCTTCATAGATGCTGCCAGACCTGCTGATCTTTTCCAGCAACTTCTTTGTTACCACTGGTTTAATAGCCAAATGCTGTCAGTCAGAAGTGAAGAAAATAGGGGTGTAGACCAGAGGCCAGTTAAAAGAATAACATTTTTAATATGGCCATTTGATTTTCACTAAACAAAATATCAAGTAAAAGGAATTTGCGACAAAACATTTAATACAGTTTCAACTTAATTTGTAGTGTAATTAACTACAGATCAAGGTTCGCTACTTTAGGTAATCTCCCATACATTCCTTACCCTGAACCAGTGTTCAGTTTTTGGATTTTATTTAACAGTGATGTACAAGTACCATTTCTGGATTGATGGAAAAGGTATCACATTTGAACTTGGATTCTTCCATTTAAGTCCAAATAAACATTGGCCTCTTTACTGGTGTTGTGACTTTGTGTATTGACTAGGTGGAAGGTTCAGGACTACCATATTTTCTCATCTATCTGCAGTTGTGACATGATTTTCAGCAGTCATCAGCACCATAAAACTGAGACAACAAGGTGCAGAGCTGGATGAACACAGCAGGCCAAGCAGCATCATAGGAGCAGGAAGGCTGACGTTTCGGGCCTAGACTTTTCATCAGAAATGGGGGAGGGGAAGGGAAGGGGGTTCTGAAATAAATAGGGAGGGGGGGTGGAAGGCGGATAGAAGATGGATAGAGGAGAAGATAGGTGGAGAGGAAACAGACAGGTCGAAGAGGCAGGGATGGAGCCAGTAAAGGTGAGTGTAGGTAAGGAGATAGGTCAGTCCAGGGAGGACGGACAGGTCAAGGGGACAGGATGAGGTTAGTAGGTAGGAGATGGGGGTGCAGCTTGAGGTGGTAGGAGGGGATAGGCGGGAGGAGGGGACGAGCTGGGCTGGTTTTGGGATGCGGTAGGGGGAGGGGAGATTTTGAAGCTTGTGTGAAATCCACATTGGTACCATTGGGCTGCAGGGTTCCCAAGCGGAATATGAGTTGCTGTTCCTGCAACCTTCGGGTGGCATCGTTGTGGCACTGCAGGAGGCCCAGGATGGACACGTCGTCTGAGGAATGGGAGGGGGAGTTGAAATGGTTCGCAACTGGGAGGTCCAGTTGTTTATTGCGAACCGAGCATAGGTGTTCTGCAAAGCAGTCCCCGAGCCTCCGCTTGGTTTCCCCGATGTAGAGGGGGCCACAACGGGTACAGCGGATACAGTATACCACGTAGGCAGATGTGCAGGTGAACATCTGCTTGATGTGGAAAGTCTTCTTGGGGCCTGGGATGGGGGTGAGGGAGGTGGTGTGGGGGCAGGTGTAGCACTTCCTGCAGTTGCAGGGAAAAAAAGTGCCAGGTGTGGTGGCGCTGGAGGGGAGTGTGGAGCGGACAAGGGAGTCATGGAGAGAGTGGTCCCTCCGGAAAACAGATAAAGGGTGGGGAGGAAAAGATGTCTTTGGTGGTGGGGTCGGATTGCAGATGGCAGAAGTGTCGGAGGATGATGCGTTGGATCCAGAGGTTGGTGGGGTGGTACGCGAGGACGAGGGGGATTCTTTTTTGGTTATTATTGCGGGGACAGGGTGTGAGGGATGAGTCATGGGAAATGTGGGAGACACGGTTGAGGGCATTCTCGACCACTGAGGCGGGGGGGAAGTTGCGGTCCTTGAAAAACGAGGACATTGAGATGTATCCAAACGGAGGCTCGGGGACTGCTTTGCAGAACACCTACGCTTGGTTCGCAATAAACAACTGCACCTCCCAGTCGCGAACCATTTCAACTCCCCCTCCCATTCCTCAGACGACATGTCCATCCTGGGCCTCCTGCAGTGCCACAACGATGCCACCTGAAGGTTGCAGGAACAGCAACTCATATTCCGCTTGGGAACCCTGCAGCCCAATGGTACCAATGTGGATTTCACAAGCTTCAAAAATCTCCCCTCCCACTACCGCATCCCAAAACCAGCCCAGCTCGTCCCCACCTCCTTCACCTGTTCTTCCTCCCACCTCAAGCTGCACCCCCATCTCCTACCTACTAACCTCATCCAGCCCCCTTGACCTGTCCATCCTCCCTGGACTGACCTATCCCCTTCCTCACTCCCCACCTACACTCACCTTTACTGGCTCCATCCCTGCCTCTTCGACCTGTTTGTTTCCTCTCCACCTATCTTCTATCCACCTCCCCCTCTCTCCCTATTTATTTCAGAACCCCTTTCCCCTCCCCCATTTCTGATGAAGGGTCTAGGCCTGAAACATCAGCCTTTCTGCTCCTCTGATGCTGCTTGGCCTGCTGTGTTTATCCAGCTCTACACCTTGTCGTCTCAGATTCTCCAGCATCTGCAGTTCCTACTGTCTCTAGCACCATAAAACTGTTTTCCACAGGAGTCCAAGCTGTTGCAAATCTATTCTTTACAGTTGTCCACATATGAAGCAGTGACTAATCAAGGCTACTTACCAGACACTAAACACTGAGGGAGCCAGCATGTAATAGTTGCTGGTTCCTCAGTGCAGGATAAATGATGGAGACTACATAGCTCTGTAGAAACAAAGCTATTACCATCGACCACTGCCTCCTGATCAATCTATTCTTCAAAATCCCAGCAAAAATTTAGGCCAACTTTGAACAAACCAAAAAGAAACAAATAGTAATCTTCATTTAAAGTTGCAGCTGCATTTCTGAAAAATCACTACTTTGTGATGTGACTCAAATAGAACATTGCCCATGTCAGTCAAGGTCTGGAAGGAGTTGGCCAATGGGAGATCAAAAAAAAGCTGAGGTTGAGAAGAAAGAGCCCTGTTTTCCACCCAAGGTTCTGACAGATGAGAATTGTGCTAGTTAATAATGAGAGATTTATTTGCATCTTATTACTTAATTGTACCCTTATGTTCACTTATTTTCCCAGGCAGTGGAAAGAAATTAGACAGTGACAATTTCTAACATGAAAGTCTGAGCACGTACTTTGCAGCTGCACTTTCTAGCAGAGTCTGCAGACTCTATCTTGGTCAGCATGCCCCAAAACCTCACTGCATGCTCTGTGCACAGTGATCATAAGTATCCTCTGTCCAGAGGTTTGTAATGACAAAGAACAAACTTCACCATATCATGGCACACTTGTCATGCAGTTCAACAATTCAGAGCTCAACCACACCTCTCGTTGCAATGCTGCTGCCGAATCGCTTTACCCATAGCAACATCTCAGGCATCAGAACAAAGTGTCTCGCAGGGTTCTTTCCACAATTTATCAACTTTATATCTCCTTGAACACTCAGAACATCTCTGCTCTTGAGTGAAAACAGCGGTCATGCTTGGCAACACATTCAAGTAATGCACTATTATCAGTAAGTTGGAATTGCAGGTGGTAGGAAGGCTTAATAGTATGAAGATCCATTGAAAAAAAAAGGTGCTGCATGCAACATTGACAGCACTGGGACCTAAGTGTGAGCCACTTAGGTCTTTGCAGCTTGTTTCATCAGAGACCGGACACCACACTGACCTTCTGGTTATTTCAGACCTGGTCAGAAGTCACTCGACACCAGAGCAGCACTGTGGAGGTGTGCATTGAGGTGAGCAGAGTTAAAAATGTGTGGGAAAGGCACTAGACTCAAGAAGGGAAACCTTCCATGAAACTCCTCAAAACTGACATTTGGCTGACATCTCCCAGAAATTGACTCACTGATTCCTACCAGGACCAGTGTTAAATCACAGCTTGAATCTTTCAGACACTTTCTACCCAGAAAACTCCAAGTTGAAATATTGCAAATGTAGAGAACAATGGAGTCCAACCTGATTTAACTTGCAAAATAAAAGTACGCCACTGAATATATGTCCATGGATGTATTTGATGTTTCTAATTTTTAAATTCCTGTATCTTTAGATTAAATTAGTTCCATCTAGTGGCAGAAGTTGGCCAATGCAGATGGTGATGCTTAGTCACATATTACTGATTCCAACCAATTGCTGCCACTAAATGGAGTGAGAGTGAGTTCAGAATAGCAACCAGAAGGGAACGGCTAACAGAGAGAAGGTGGAAGGAAAGCAGATCCATAGGCGAGGCAATGCTGAGAGGCAAGACCTGTCCCCTTTCACAAAAACTCTGGTCTGAGGTTCTTCAGAATTCTCCAATACTACACCAAAGTGGGTTCAGATGTCAGATGTCTAACAGGCGATAAAACACAACCTTGAACCATAAATGACAGTACAATTTGAAGAAACAAGTCCTATAAACAAAATGATGTTCAAGCAAAGTGATATTAAGTGGGACAATGTAATTTAAAACAAAAGGACCAGCTATGTGCTGAAAATAGCCAGTAAAAACTCAAAACTAAAATTCCTTTTCATATATGAAGAAAAAAATTGTTGGTATTTTTAAAAAGCACTGTATAACAAATAGGCAACAGCTTGAAGAAATACAAAGTTTAGAAACAACATATTAAAAAGTGAAGAAATTCAAGGACATTATCATTAAAAAGAGTGCAAATGTCAAAAAGGTGAAAGCATACCTTGGGTGCCAACTTGAAAAGCATTTTACAGGTATGTCCTTATTCTTTTAGTGCCCAAAGTTACCATTACCATAACATTAAAATGAATTCAACACTGGATTTCAAAATATTTAAATAATTGAAGATAAAATAAATTAAAATTTGTCATTTCATGAGTGAAATAGAGATAGAAGGTCCAGCAAAAGATGTTTATTTCAGAACCATATATACACATACAGTACCTGAAAACAAAATGACCATTTCAATGCAATTAAATAGTACAGGTTTGACTTATCCGCAACACGAGAGATGTAATATTTTCTTCATATTTAGGGAAATCACCTGTGTGCTGCAATGACTGACTCTTGTGCTACAAAACACAACATTCCTAAAGCTTCGATCACATTTGGGAAAGAAAAACAGTTTAATGCATACAAAAAGTACAACTGACATTAATAATCTGGAGTTCCTCCATAAGCCCAATGATCTTCCAATGCCTTTTGGAAATTTCCCTTAGTTAAGATAGAAACAACCAAATGAAGTGGTTTCAAACAGTTTAGATACAACACGACAGAACAGCAAGTACAATAGATCATTTCCTTCAAATTATGTCTGTAACTTTTACATCTTTTTACTGTATTGTTTGGATACAATACCAGGTCTAAAGCATAGCATTTAGTCCAAGAACTTCCGGTTTTGATTGGCACCAAACAAAGCCACTCTGATATTCGGCATCATCTGAAAGACGGACAAAACATTAGCTTTAGTATTTCTGTCGTAAGGAGCTAATTACAAATCAGCATAGATGTTCTAACATGCCATTTCCATCAGAAATGGACTTAAGTTGCCCAGTGGCAATTCATTCAAACCAGGAATTCAGCAAGTTTACATTCCCTACTCCTTTACATTTATTATCCATAAGCAGTCTTGTTTCAATTCAAGTGTTAAGAAATCTTGTTAGAACTTCAGGATCACATATAAACTCAAACTCAGTCTGAATCAGTGCAAGTGTTACTTGCTAGCACTGAGAAGTAGAAACTGGCTGTGTTATGTTTCAGAACAGGGATGAGGGTCTGCTGTGTTTTCACTTCAATTTTAACCAAGATATGTTGACAGGGAGGAAACTAGTTTGTTAGTCTACTGAATCAGAAAAGCACTCAAAAGACACTTTTTTTAAATACTACACAAAAGGGAAGAGCAAGATCAACAACTTGTTTCAATTGTCTATCTGCCATTGTACTACCAAACTAACACTTAAAGTTCAGAGCTCCATGAATAATTTCCTTACCTGCTGTGCAATGAGGTCCAATCTACTCTCCAAGGTGTTGGAAACCTTTATTTTTCCTGTACAGTTATACATTTCAACACCTCCAGCACTGTGTTCGAAGAGAAAAGAAACAATTCTTGACTTGTTTTGATATGATCAACTTTCCCAACAATTCATAACTAATTAGTGAGGAAAAGCAAAAGATACATGTCTGTATAATGATTTACATCTGTGACAGACATCAATTAGCCCAACATCTGTTATCAGGAAATTACTGCAGTCTTTAATCAAGGATAATAAAATATTACAAAAACCATTAAGGTTTGCTGGTTTAGAGGAGCACAGTCAGTACTTCATACAGAACTACATTCTAATTGGAGGTTACACTTTCAGCTAAGATAACAAGGTGTAGAGCTGGATGAACACAGCAGGCCAGGCAGCATCAGAGCAACAGGAAAGCTGACGTTTCGGGTCTGGACCCTTCTTCAGAAAA